ACACTGATAGGTGGCACTGCTGGGCACAGGTGGGTGGAACTGCTGTGCACTTGTGGCTGGTACTGCTGGGCACAGGTGGGTGGCACTGGTGGGTGCCACTGATTGTCATGTCCTCTGACAATTGCTGTTATCGGCAGTACTTTCCTCATGCTGTGACAGCGTGAGGAAAGTGCAGCCGATAACCGGCAACTGTATTTACCCGGTGATCTGCTGTGTCATTGGACACAGCTGATCACATGGTAAAAGGCAGCTGTGATTGGCCGTTTCTGTAGAACACAGCGATCACCGGCGGCATTGGGGGCCACAGGAGGTGTTTTCTGGGAGGGCGTCCATGAATACCCTCCCAGAACTAGACAACCACGCTGTAGCTGTCTTTTGGCTATAGCGCAGTAGGGAACAAGTCAACCACTTACCCTGCTGGGGATTTATCCCCCCCCCCCCCCCCTACCATTCCTGACCAGGCCATTTTTTTGCATTACGGTGCTGCATTAATTTGACTGACAATTATGCTGTCATGCAACGGCAATCAGCGACTTATAGCGGGACTGGGACATCCCCAGTGACACCAATACAGTGATCAGTGCTAATAAAAAGTACTGACACTGTACTAATGGCAATGGGCAGGAGGGGATAACATGAGGGGCAATCAAAGGGTTAACTGAGTGCTGTTTTACATTGGGCTGTGCCTGTGTGCTTCATTGTAAGCACACTGTTTTGGATGGCTGTGCACAGCCATCCAAAGCAGTGTGCACATGCTGGCAGGGAGAACTGTATTGTTTACAAACAGTTCTCAACCCCGCCGGAGATGTTCGGCAATCACCGGCCGCTGGCGAGTAATCAAAGGCTGGGACCATGTGATTAACCGCCGCAGCTGCAAACGATGGTGCAAACAGGGCACTTGCACGCCCCCTACCCGGTAATGCAAAATCCCATATATATACAGTGGGGATTGAAAGTTTGGGCACCCCAGCTAAAAATTTGTATTAATGTGCATAAAGAAGCCAAGGAAAGATGGAAAAATCTCCAAAAGGCATCAAATTACAGATTAGACATTCTTATAATATGTCGACAAAAGTTAGATTTTATTTCCATCATTTACACTTTCAAAATAACAGAAAACAAAAAAAATGGCGTCTGCAAAAGTTTGGGCACCCTGCAGAATTTATAGCATGCACTGCCCCCTTTGCAAAGCTGAGACCTGCCAGTGTCATGGATTGTTCTCGATCATCATCTGGGAAGACCAGGTGATGTCAATCTCAAAGGTTTTAAATGCCCAGACTCATCTGACCTTGCCCCAACAATCAGCACCATGGGTTCTTCTAAGCAGTTGTCTAGAAAACTGAAACTGAAAATAGTTGATGCTCACAAAGCTGGAGAAGGCTATGAGAATATAGCAAAGTGTTTTCAGATGACAATATCCTCTGTTCGGAATGTAATTAAGAAATGGCAGTCATCAGGAACAGTGGAAGTTAAAGCAACATCTGGAAGACCAAGAAAAATATCAGACAGAACAGCTCGCAGGATTGTGAGAAAAACAATTCAAAACCTACATTTGACTGCACGATCCCTCCAGAAAGATCTGGCAGACACTGGAGTTGTGGTACACACTATTCCACTATAAAGAGATACTTGTACAAATATGGTCTTCATGGAAGAGTCATCATAAGAAAACCTCTTCTACGTCCTCACCACAAAAATCATCGTTTGAACTTTGCAAATGAACATTTAGACAAGCCTGATGCATTTTGGAAACAAGTTCTGTGGACCGATGAGATTAAAATTGAACTTTTTGGCCGGAATGAGCAAAGGTACGTTTGGAGAAGAAGGGGCACAGAATTTAATGAAAAGAACCTCTGTCCAACTGTTAAGCATGGGGTTGGATCAATCATGCTTTGGGGTTGTGTTGCAGCCAGTGGCACAGGGAACATCTCACGAGTAGAAGGAAAAATGGATTCAATAAAATTTCAGCAAATTTTGGATGGTAACTTGATGCCATCTGTGAAAAAGCTGAAGTTAAAGAGAGGATGGCTTCTACAAATGGATAATGATCCTAAACACACCTCGAAATCCACGGGGGATTACATCAAGAGGCGTAAACTGAAGGTTTTGCCATGGCCTTCACAATCTCCTGACCTCAACATAATTGAAAATCTATGGATAGATCTTAAAAGAGCAGTGCGTGACAGACAGCCCAGAAATCTCAAAGAACTGGAAGACTTTTGTAAGGAAGAATGGGCAAAGATACCTCAAACAAGAATTGAAAGACTCTTGGCTGGCTACAAAAAGTGTTTACAAGCTGTGATACTTGCCAAAGGGGGCAGTACAAGATATTAACTCTGCAGGGTGCCCAAACTTTTGCAGACGCCATTTTTTTTGTTTTCTGTTATTTTGAAAGTGTAAATGATGGAAATAAAATCTAACTTTTGTTGACATATTATAAGAATGTCTAATCTGTAATTTGATGCCTTTTGGAGATTTTTCCATCTTTCCTTGGCTTCTTTATGCACATTAATACAAATTTTTTAGCTGGGGTGCCCAAACTTTCGATCCCCACTGTATATATATATAATATATAACTTATATAATCCCCACTAAATATATATATATATATATATATATATATATATGATTTTGTGCACCCGTGCCGCCCTGTAGCCGTATATCTGCCTGCTATAGGGTGATTGGGAAGCGGTTAACATGGTTTCCTATGGAACATGTTCACATCTATGCTTTTTTGAGCTGCTATGTTTTTGGAAAGGGTCAGAGACTTATTTTAACCACTTGCCCTCCAGAGGATTTAGCCCCCCCCCTTCCTGACCAGGCCATTTGTGATAGGGCACTGCGTTACTTTTTAACTGACAATTGCGCGGTCATGGAACGCTACACCCAAATGAAATTTATGTCCTTTTTTTTCCCCCACAAATAGAGCTTTTTTTCAGTGCTATTTGATCGCCTCTGTGGTTTTTATTCTTTGCGCTATAAATAAAAAAAGTCTAACAAATTAAAAAAAAAAAAAAAACTTTTTGTTATAAAGCATATCCAGTAAAAAAATTACAAAAATCAAATTTCGCCATAATAAAAATCCCAATACATGTAAATAAATTGGTTTTTTAATTGAACATTATAGTGTCTACAAATGGCGGTATATATACTGGAATTTTTTTTTTTATACTAGTAATAGCGGCGATCAGTGACTTACAGCGGAACTGCAAGACTGCGGCAGGCATTCTGACACTGGGCGAGAACTAACTGTCTCTGACATCACCAGTGACACTAATAGTAATAGAAAGCACTGACACTGTTCTAATGACACTGGGCAGGAAGGGGTTAACATCTGGGGTGATCAACTGTGTGCTGTGTGTGTTTTACTAGGGAAATAAGCTGCTTTGTATTGCTCTGCTATGCGTGTCCCCTACCTGAAAATGCTAAATCACATATATACATGATTGTACGCAGCCCTGCCGCCCTGTAGCAGTAGTTCTGCTGTAGGGTGGTCGGGAAGCGGTTAAAAGCAAAAAGCTACAAGAGAGTTCAATGGAGAAGCTGGTGAAATACATGGTAGTGCATTTTTGCTGCGTTGTGCATTTTTATTCTGCCCAGCAACAAAACAAATTCCACTTTAAAGTGGAGTTCCACTTACTCTGTAAAAAAATAAAAGTCAGCAGCTACAAAAACTGTAGCTGCTGACTTTTAAAAAAACAGCCACTTACCTGTCCCACGATCCCGTGTTGCCCCCTTCACAGCCCGTTACACCGGCCGTCCTGTATTCCAGGAGGCCGGCATCTTCATTGTGGGTACCTGACAGCTTGCGGCTGCACAGCTGGGGGCCGCATGCACGAGTAGCGCTGCTCTTCCTGAATGGCCCCGTCATCTTCTGGGACCTGTCACGTGTCCCACAAGACTTTGGGAAGGTAGGGTAGAAGGACAACTTCTGCTTCCGATCACCTAGGTGATCGCAGCAGAAGTGGGAGTGGGTGCCTGTCAAATTCAGGTTCACGTTCCCCCCCCCCCCCCCCCCCCCCCCCCCCCCCCCCCCCCCTCTGCTCCCCAAAGGTGCCAATCCTTAATGAGGAGTCTTTAAAGTGGAACTCCGCTGTAACAAAAAAAAAAAAAAGCTGCGCACAAATGTCCAAAACATGTATAGAAAAATGCAAAGCAGCAACTGCATAGGTGTGAACGGGCCCTCAACAAATGGAAGTTAAATGTGTGACCATGCATTCCTATGGAGCTCTTCACACTGATCTGGCGCGGGTCCACTGTGTTTTTTTATTTAAATCCTGATTGCTGCATTCTTACTGTAGCAACATAAAACGCACTACAAACACATTCCCATTCACATCAATAGAAAACGTAGCAAAAGACACCCCACCATGTGTTTTTTGAGTCATATTTCCTGTAAAAAAAAACGTGGTAAATCCGCATACGCATTTTTGCTAGGATCAGTTACAAGTACTTTAGATTGTACGCCCCTTGAGGGTTAGGGACTGATGTGAATGTACAATATATGTAAAGCACTGTGTAAATTGACGGCGCTATATAAGTACCTGACATAATTAAGTATGCTTAGCATGGATTGAACTTCCAGGCTGTTTGGGGCCCCTCTGCTTTCTTTTGTGTTAGTTGTCAGCGGCCCTCCCTACCCCATGTTTACATGTTGCTGGATTGGCGCATGCGCCATAGTACAGGGTACGGACTACTGCTACACCGCTAATACCTTCCTTAGTGATGAGGAAATCTGACTATTCCCGGGCTCCCAGATTGCTCCATTCGTGCCCCGCCCATTTCCTGTTCCTCTCCTGACATCACTTCCGCCTCCCTCCAGTGGATGGGAATTCGCCGCTGCCGAGTTACAGAACTTCCGGTCTCCGGTCCCCTCTATACGGCGGGTGGAAGAGGAGGTTTGCCCCGGCGACCGGCGGGAATTGTGTGCCGTACTGTGCAGAGGACAGCCGGAGAGCGAGCAGGGCGGCTGGTGTGGCCGTGTGTGAGCTCCGTACATCATGGCTTATCAGCTGTACAGGAACACCACACTGGGCAACAGTCTGCAGGAGAGCCTGGACGAGCTGATACAGGTCAGAGGATTCCCCCTCCCCCACAGGGCACCGCTGTCTAACACACACACACCCCTTAGTCTAGGTCCACACAGTGGCTGGGGAAGACGCTGGACATTGGCCGTGTTCCCAGCCTGCAATGGCAGACACTTTAGCAGGTATGCAAACTGTTGGTGCTGTGTAAATCCTGTGTCATCATCCATGTGGGTGAGGGGGCACCATGAAGGCCTCATATGCACATTGAGCATCTAAACGCCTTCTGTCCTCCCAGGAGAAAAAAACACCCGCAGCGCTTGTTTACACCCGCTTCCAAATGTGGCTTCCCCACACACTTTTTTTTTTTTTAAAGGGCTCTGCCAGCCTGTCGCTTAACAAAGTGGTAAGATTACAGTCCTGTTTACACATTGCTTTTGTTTTCCTTCCAAAAATTATACCCTGCGTCACTTTCTTGGTGCTTCAAAGCGTCTCCAAAGCCTCCATAGAAGTCTGACAGCTTTTGAGAGGCTTCAGGGGTGTGGAAATTTTTTATAAAACTACTTGTCCAGGGACTAAATCAAGATCCAAATCTACTTGTCCTGACAAAAATAAATACATATTATTATACAGTATAAAAGCGCCAACAGTTTGCTCAGCGCTGTACATTACAATGGGAGACAGAACATGCGACAGTACGGTAACAATACAATGTGATACACGAGGGGTTCGAGGGCCCTGCTCCTTGGAGCTTACAGTCTAGGAGGGAGGGGATAGTGGTACAGGAGGAAATGGCTGTGGGGGATGGAGTGGTAGGAAGAGTGGACATATTAGCCAAAACTGTATTTAAGCCCCCAAAACATATATTTTCTGAAAGCAGTGCTGTTAGAGAATAAAATAGTGGTAGTTCCAATTTGTGTCACACGGTATTACCACAAAGGTCTAGGAAACACAACATTTCACTAAAAAATACACTTAATTGTAGGCATAATACAGCAATAAATTGCCCTTTTTCTGGTATTTATTTAAAAAATAAAAGATGAGGTTGCACTGAGTTTCACGTGTGCTCGTGAAATGGTGACAAACTTTAGTACCCTGTATTTTCAGTAGTGACGCTTTTAAATGCCCAATCTATTGTTACAGAGGAGGGCTGGTGCTAGAAATATTGATCTTGTTTGGGCGTGTGCGGGAATACGTAATGTGTTTCGCAATCAAAGTTTTCATGAGTAGGTGCCCCCGGCGTGTGCTTTTACATTTGTACGTGCGTATAAGTGGGGGTAGGGGGATCAAAATGTTTTTGGAGGGTATTGTGTGCTTGGGTGTAACTTTTTTTAATTTTTTTTATAGTTAAAAAAAAAATTACTTAACTTTTTTTTTTTTCATCACATAGGGAACAAGAAGTCCCCTATGTGATGATTTTTGGTGACAGGTTCTCTTTATTGAGACGTGCAGGGTATAAAAGACCCTGCATGTCTCCCCTGTATTCGACTGGATGTAATGCAGTGCATATCACACTACGTCATAATGTCACTTCCGGGTCCGGAGAAGAGGAGGTGGGTAGTGGTCTTGTCGGCTCTCTTACATCTCTACACGCTGGAACCCACTGATCTGGTCCCGGGACTGCAAATGGGCAAACCTGGCCCGGGAGACACAGCGGGCAAGACGGAGGTACACGAGGGGGGGGGCAAAGCCTGGCACCATAGTGGGCTCATGTAGAAGCAATCAGTAGCAGCGCTGCTGCCCGAGTGCTTCTACCTGACAGGTGAGCCCTTTTTTTTTTCTTTTCTTAATAGTGCAAAAAAATAAAAGACCCAATTTAAAAAAAAATTATATTTTTTTACTTTCGTTTCCAATATTTTGTTTACATTTTTCACAATACATGAAGAAGGTTACAAGGAGAATGACAACATAGTGTTCCTTTCACTATAAAAATACACACAGATTGCATAGTGACATAAGGAATTAAGATTTTGTAAAAACAGCTCTAGTAAACTCCAGGTAACTTACTGCCTTAGGGCAATAGCCCATCAGTGAGGTAGATGATCCTATAAGAGCATAATACTTATAATATTGTGTTTAAAAATAAAGGTAGCCTCCCTGGCGGTATTCCTGAGTGTAGCTCGGGGTAAAGTTTCAGTACCACAAGCGGTAACCCCAAGCTACACTCGGGGTTACCATGTGGCACTGCTCCGCGATCCCTCGGTCACTTACCTTGTCCTGCGCTCCCACGATGTCCCTCCTGCAGTGTCCCCGGCAATGTAATCTGGCAGATACCGGCATCTGTCATCTGGGTTCCATCCCCTGCGAGCGTCGGGACGTACGGGGACGGAACAGCGGGAAATTTGAAAGTGACATTCACAAAAATCACTAAAATCACATAGTAAAACATTACTGTACCAAACCATTTCACATACATTGTGTCCCTACTGCTTTGTCCTGTGCCCTGCCTGCATTTTTACTGTTCTTTCTGCCTGGAAACTGAGAAATGTCCATGGTGTCCAAAAAGCGTCCCTTTAGGTCAAAAGCGGTTTTAGACCAGCTAGAGAACAGCGATAGTAAATTAGAACCACTTGCAGAATTGAGTGATAATGATTCGTGGGGAAATTCGTCATCAGACACTGAAAACTATTTTGTGACTAAGCTCAGTGATGTGCGAACTTGGCGCTATATTTCAAATTTCAGTGTTTTTGGTTTAATTATATTATTGAACTAAATTTATTATTTTATTATTTTCTATGATTATTTATTCAATTATAATTTATGATTTCGTGTTTCAAGTTTTATACTACCCGGGATGTTTACTAGACTCTTGTTCGGACAGATTTCAGTGAGTTATTCCTAAGAATTACAGGCCTACAATATAAAACGCCAAATTTCCATGCAAAATAATTGTACCGCTTTCAGCACCAAAAATCTGAAATAATCATACTGCCAGGGAGGTTAACCATGTAGGCACACCATACATTCCTTTCAATTAGGGCTACCTACCTCGAAAGTTGTACAGTTATAAATGTTTCCCCTGAGTTTGTTGTAATACCACTATTTTAGAAAAGAAAAGGCTAGAATACTTAAAAAAAAAAAAATAGGAAGAGAAAGAAGATGAAGGGGTGGGTAAATGCCTCCATGCTCTGGCCCACTCCCTCTTTGGAGTTTCTCAATTGGGTATAGTCCAAGGGTCACCCGTTATATATTTAACCTACGGGTCCCACACCTTTTCAGAGACTTTCATTTTGTCATTTATGATCGCTGATAAACGCTCATTTTTCATTATTCGGGAACGTTTGTGCTTGAGCAGGTACAATAGGTGACTTCCAATTCTTAGCAATAGTCATTTTTGCCAAAAACAATTTGAAGGTGATGAGCCATCTTTGATCTTTTTAGGATTCCTCAACCCTGAATTCCAGTAAGGCATACTTCAGACTTGATATATTTCTGCTATAAAGCATATCCAATAAAAAATTAAAACCATTAAATGTTTTCATAAATTTAGGCCAATATGTATTCTGCTACATATTTTTGGTTAAAAAAAAAATCCCAATAAGTGTATATTGATTTGTTTGCGCAAATTTGTGGCATCTACAAACGATGGTGTGTATGTATACTTGAGTTTATTTTTTTTATATTCGTAATGGCGGAGATCAGCAGCTTCTAGCAGACTGCGATATTGCGGCAGACAACATGACACTAACTGACATTTTGTGGGAACCTGTGACAGTACAGTGATCAGTGCTAAAACTATGCACTGTCACTGTACTAATGACACTGGTTGGGTAGGGGTTAAACAAAGGGTAATCAAAGGGTTAAATGTGCGCCTATCCATTGATTTTTTTTTTTTTTTTTTTTTGTGTATGCTGCTGCTTTCACTAAGGGATGTTCTTGATTTTATTCCCTGCTTTGCAGGGAAACAAAATCCTGCACATCTCCGCTAACAGGACAGAGCTCTGCTTTGTTTACATATGCGGAGCTCCGTCCAGTGTGGCTCCTCACCGATCAGCGGGTGCCAGCGGTCATCCATTGGCCATCACCCACTGATTATCATCTAGTGTGACTAATCACAGCAGATGCTGCACGTGCCCACTACCCGAGTGGCCACCCTGTAACAGTAAAGATGCTATATGGCAGTCGGGAACTGGGTATTCAGCGTTGGCTTCAGGTTGTTTTGGAAATATTGCAAGTTTGAGATATCCCAGGAAGCACTGGAAAACCAAAAAGCGAACCTTTCCATCCAAACAGAGCCACTGATAGATTTGCTTTGTGCTACTGAGGTAAATAATGTATTGGGGATAAATGCGCTCTCTCTCTCTCTCTCTCTTTCTCTCTCCTCTCTCTCTCTCTCTCTCTCTCTCTCATTTATATTTATATAGAACACACGATATTGCCAAAATATTATTGGGACGCCTGCCTTTACAGGCACATGAACTTTCATGGCATCCCAGTCTTAGTCTGTAGGGTTCATTATGAAGTTGGCCCACCCTTTGCAACAGTTTCAACTCTTCTGGGAAAGCTGACCACAAGGTTTAGGAATGTGTCTATGAGAATGTTTGACCATTCTTCCAGAAGCGCATTTGTGAGGTCAGGTGCTGATGTCGAACGAGAAGGCCTGGCTCGTAGTCTCTGCTCTAATTCATCCCAGAGGTGTTCTGTCAGGTTGAGATCAGGACTCTGTGCAGGCCAGTCAAGTTCCTCCACACCAAACTTGCTCATCTGTGTCTTTATGAACCTTGCTTTGTGCACTGGTGTGCAGTCATGTTGGAACAGGAAGGGGCCAACCCCAAACTGTTCCCACAAAGTTGGCAGCATGAAATTGTCCAAAATGTCTTTTTATGCAGATGCCTTAAGAGTTCCCTTCAGTGAAACTAAGGGGCCAAGCCCAACCCCTGAAAAATAACCCTACACCAAAACCCCCCCCCCTCCAGCAAACTCTACACTTGGCACAATGCAGTCAGGCAAGTACCGTTTTGGCAACCGCCAAACCCAGACACGTCCATCGGATTGCCAGACAGAGAAGCGTGATGTCACTCTGCAGAACACGTTTCTACTGCTCTAGA